CATAAAATGGGCCTGGAAGTCCACTTTCAGTTAGATATATGAAAATTGTTTTATATAGTAGCATATGTGTCATCGCTTTTAAACTGTAGTTTCCCCAGAGCTTCAGGTCTTATTTCTACTTTGTGATGTAATTACTGTACTGATTCTTTAGTGGGCAATATCAAGAAGTGCATATCCATATGTGTTTGGTGAAACTAAACCAATATAGACTCCTTTCTTAATCACATGCATAAAAGCCAAAAAACAAAGAAAAGGTTAAACGCAGAGGTAAAGCACATGCATAAGAACGATTTTCCCTGTCAAATACTTGTAAAGTATTTAAGATCATCCCCTGCTGTGCTGTATGGCTGCACATAATTAAAAGGGTGACAACAGTTTTCACAAAGACTAAATGACAAGCTTTTCTATCAGTTTATGAGTTGCTATGGAAGTGTACAAGGTTAGGGGTAATTCATGAATGTAAAATACACAATATAATATTCCCAACACTGGGACATATATATACCTTTAAATAATTTATGGCAGGGCTTACCTGAGGGCAACCCGATTCCACTATTTACATCTTTGTGCTGCTCTAATGTGCATTGCAAATTTAAATGGGCTGCCTAACACACCAAAAATAAGATTTTTCAACTTACAATAAAGTCTATTTCTTACAGTCCATTGAGGGACACACAGAATCAGATATATTCAGGTTAACTAGCATGCTCACTTTTGTGGAACATCAGTACCAAAGGCAATAACAAATAAGTTCAAAATGTCCTATTGTATTTCTTGTCCATTGAGGGACACAGGAATTCAAATATATTTGGATGTCCAAAAGTAGTCCAACTTTGGGGTGTGCAATTGCCACTGACAGGTTCACAAGAAGGGACTGGGAACTGTCTGCAACTCAGAACCACCTAAAGAACCAAAATCCAAGATACTGCCAAGGGGGAATGACTACCCCTGAGGTAACATTAAGCCTTAACCAGCGAGAAAAAACAAAACTATCTGATAAAGGAAGAAAATGACCCACAACATAATGTGCTCAACATAAAAACACTGGGGTAAGCCCCATGAGAACAAGTCCCCAAACAGAACCTCAGACAAAAACAGGTCAGTAAGAAAAGACTAGCTGGTCTACAGAGCTAGGCTCAAACCTTACACTCCCAACCCTTATGATTCAGGGAAGATAAAATCCATGACAAAAAGGAGGTTTATACCAAGCCATTAATCTTGCTAAACTAGATATCCAGAGAATATTAGAATCCTCACCAGTGACCAGTGAAGTGAACTCAAGGGTATAATACCAAGAAATCATCTTGACTAAAGGAGTAGGGTGTCCCCCTAGAAGGGTAGACAGGAATGATGGTATATTGGCAACCCCAGACTGTTGAAAGGTGGCAAAAGAAAAAATGAGCAAAAAACCATCCACTTTAACACCTGGTGTCCTTGGAGCTGAATAGAAATATTGCAGAACCTGGCCAAACATGAGCACAGAACAGACTTTTAGGAATCTCCAGTAAAATGTCTATAGCCAATAGCTGGAGCAGGAACTTAGCCTCACTGCTAAGAACATTCAACTGATTAAGGCCAGAAAAAGGGAATACTTCTGGGAAGAGCTACCCAAGATGCTGCAGATCAGCCACAAAAGAAGGACCAATCCCCAAGTGATCAGGTCCCACAAAGGCCTCCAGACATACTCAATCTCCAAAAAGAGGTGCCTTCAGCAGGAACCTAGCATGTTTCACTTGCTGACAATCCATGGGAGCCCTCCAGCGATGATCTCTGCCATGCAGGAGATGAGCACTTAGGTGCACAAACCTCTTCCTTTGGTGCAGAGACCACCAGTTGAAGAGAACCAAACACCAATGCATTGCCTTTTACTAGCAGCTCGATCAAAAAATGGTATTCTTAGCTTTGTCCAACATAGGGACCAAGCCACTAGTCCTGTCGAATGGAGGAACCCAAGACCTTCCTGAAGGCAAAGACACTGCAACACCTAGTTCATGTCAAATGGAAGCCATTTCAAAGTGGGGATCACCATAAAAGAGGGAATGGTTGGTTCAGGGCAGCCAAACTGAAGCCCCAGACATGGGAACACCTGGGCAGTAGGGGTGTACTGCATGACTATTGATGTAGGGTTCAATAGGGTATAGACCTTATTAGGGTTTAAGCTGAAAAGCCAGGCCCGCTCGTGACCAATAGCTAAAAGTGGCAGGCAAGTGTTAGACCCTTTAAAAGGGTGCTTACTGCAAGTGTCCAAAAAACAGATCCTCTTCAAGGGAGGTTGTCTGAGCATCCCATGATGGGAATGCATGGAAAAGGCAGTGGGATTTAAACCAGGGCCAACACTTTGATAAGTAGAAGAAGCTTCTGAAGGGAACTCAAGTGTCAGATCCTTTTTATGGAAGAGGACAGAAAGCCAGAACTGGTTTTGGTTGACCATGTAGGTCAGAGAACCCCAATGGAGAAGAGAAATTGCTGAGTACCATGTTCTACAGGATAATATAACAGTACCCAAGGAGAGGGGAATCTCCTAAAGAAGAATGGGAGGATGCAGATGGGTTACACCAAAACCCAATCCAGTTATCCCAAATATGGGAGCCCAGGAAAAATGTGAAAGTTCTAATATTTTATGCACAAGACAGATAGTGAGAGGAAACTGGAGGAGGTGCCAGAGACAAAGGTTTAACCTATTAGCTAAAAGGAATGTCCTCTACACCTATAAATAGACAATAAATGGTAATCCGCGCTCTACTTTTACTTAACCTTTGCTATATAGTATATGTTTTTATAGTAATATTATTATTTTTAATATACTGTGGTTCTATCATCTAATCACTTATTTACCTGAATTACATAGATTGGTCTTATTATGATTTCCCAATACTTGATTCAACTTAAAAAATATATAATTAAATCCAATTATAATATTTGTACAGTGTAATTATTTCATATAAAATACGTGAATGAATTAATGAAATATTCTGTGCCTGTGTGCAAAATAAAAATATAAATAAATAAAAATATTTTGTGAATTTATACAATCTAATGTGCAAATAATGCAAAGCCTGCTATAAATTTCATGTATATAAAATAAAATGTAAATATATAAAATAATATAAATAGTAGAGATAAAAATAAAAATGACTCAAAATTCAATTCATAAAATACAACCTCAAAACTGTGTGCAAAAATGTGCAAAAAAAAATGTGCAAATTATAAATTGTGTATATATTGATGAAATATAAATAAATAAAAATGATAAAAATCGTTAAAAAATATATATCAATTCATAAAGTACGACTCCAAAAGAATTGTGCTAAAAAACGTGCAAAAAAAAAAAATATAATCAAATGTGCCAAAAAAAGGAAAGTTTTTAGGATTCCCCAGGAAGAAGGTGTTGATGATATACTCTCCTTTTTCAAATGAATTATAATGATGCAGGTGAGAGCTCACAGACTATCTTCTAAGTCTGTATGGGTGTGAGATTTTCTCCCTCCTATAGCTTCTCCTCACTTCAATCCTCAATGTCTCCTCATATGACCCATGAAAGAAAGAAGATAAAGAAATATGGTGCCTTATCCAGGGTATAACAGACACTATTTAATGTGCTCCCATTATGCACTCACATGATATCAGATAAATAACACGCATATAAAGATACAACCGCCAGCTGCGGTAAAGCTCAGCCTCTCAGAAGTGTGTTCCCACTCTGTCTATACTCGCCGCAATGTCAGTCCGGTACGTAAAAGTGAGGAGAAGCTATAGGAGGGAGAAAATCTCACACCCATACAGACTTAGAAGATAGTCTGTGAGCTCTCATCTGCATCATTATAATTCATTTGAAAAAGGAGAGTATATCATCAACACCTTCTTCCTGGGGAATCCTAAAAACTTTCCTTTTTTTGGCACATTTGATATATTTTTTTTGCACATTTTTTAGCACAATTCTTTTGGAGTCGTACTTTATGAATTGATATACATTTTTTTTATGATTTTTTATAATTTTAATAATTTTTTATATTTATTTATATTTCATCAATATATACGCAATTTATAATTTGCACATTTTTTTTGCACATTTTTGCACACAGTTTTGAGGTTGTATTTTATGAATTGAATTTTGAGTCATTTTTATTTTTATCTCTACTATTTATATTATTTTATATACATGAAATTTATAGCAGGCTTTGCATTATTTGCACATTAGATTGTATAAATTCACAAAATATTTTTATTTATTTATATTTTTATTTTGCACACAGGCACAGAATATTTCATTAATTCATTCACGTATTTTATATGAAATAATTACACTGTACAAATATTATAATTGGATTTAATTATATATATTTTTTAAGTTGAATCAAGTATTGGGAAATCATAATAAGACCAATCTAGGTAAATCAGGTAAATAAGTGATTAGATGATAGAACCACAGTATATTAAAATAATAATAATTACTATAAAAACATATACTATATAGCAAAGGTTAAGTAAAAGTAGAGCGCGGATTATCATTTATTGTCTATTTATAGTATTCACATTCTATGAGAGTGAGAAACATTCCAGCGATCTAACATACAATTTTCTAACTCCAGTGGCTCACAAGTTCATCCCAATAATATTTGTATAAAAGTCCTCTACACCTAAATGAGAAAAAAAAAACACCAAATGATGGGGCTTATTTTACTCCTACTTGCTCTTTAGTGTGTGTTGCGGTAAAAAATACAGCAGGATTAAATAGGCTGCTTTGCTGAAAAAACTTTACCTAATTACAAGAAAACAAGTAGCTACTGTCAGCCCTCTGTAGGTGTACGGGACTGAACTTGAGGCCCTCTATAATTTTCAAGTTGATCACCACTGGCATAGATGGAAGTAGAATGTCATTTAAATTTGCCTCTGTGTTTTGTAGTTCTACTCTTGATACTATACAGTATCATATGCTTAAAGTAAACAAACATATTCAAAATAAACTAGGCTTTATATCGTGTGGAGGCAGGGATGTTTACCTGTTTGCGCACATATTCAACCATCAGCTCTAACTGACAAGGATCATCACAGCGCATATTGAAAAGATTTCGCCAAAGAGCAGCAGACAAAATACGATCATCAGATATAATTCCCTACAAAAGAAAATGAAAAGTCTTGATGCCTTGGAAATTTACAAGATCCACAGCTTTATTTTATGACATGATGCAAAGATCAACTATTGCAGCAATCATAAATGAGCTTGTTACCTGTTCAGTATAATCAGCCTATAGAAATTCATTTTTGATTACTTTCCCTGTGAATCCTGTTACTAAACACAAGCCTAATATTTTGACAAAACCTTGTAAAGTTAATTTCCACAGTGATAATTATAACAGATGAATACATCAACAGATTCAATTCTTGATTTAGTTATATTATATGGTTTAAAATCAGCATGAAGATTTTTAAAATAGTTCTTTAAGCAGAATATTATTAGAAGTCTGCAAATCAAAGCAATGATGCATATGATTGCATAGCAATCTACACCTTTCAATCACTGAGATCATATTATGTTTGTCCTGCCCCCTGGTATGATGCATAGTACCTCAATGACCAGGGATAGAGGGTGGAGGCTGCAGGATGACATTGTATGAAAAGGAATGGGTTAAACAATGGATAGTAGTGAACTATGACTTGATCATATTGCATGTAGCCTGTTCATTTTGAGTTGATATTTTATTTGATCTGCCGTTTAAAAGAATAATGCTGTAAAAAAAAAAAAAAAAACAGTAACTTTTATTTTTAGTAGGTCTCCTGTGTACTATCTATTCTATCCTGGAACTATACTGACATGTATGGGAACAAAGCAAAAGTTAAAGCACAGTAAGCAAAATGTTTGGATACAGTGTTGGAAGCATTAAAATCTCTCTCTTTTTTTTTTCTGTGTCCTCTCTATGGAAATGTACCCTATTTTGGTGGTGTTTGCTACCAGACCTATAGAACATGCCCGATGAGTACACCTGTTATGGTAACAACCAAGGCTGGCCTCTCAGTATAAAATTGTACAATCTCCTTTAGTTTACCATCAGCTATATAATACAAGGGTCTAACGCAGTGGTTCTCAACCTGTGCGTCACGACCCCTTAAAGGGTCACGGCATTAGGAAGGTTGAGAACCACTGGTCTAACGGATTTGATACTAATTGAATTGTATTGGTTTGTCCGCATGTTACATCCTTTGGTAAAGCTAAAAGAGATCGTACAGAGATAGTACAGTGTATGGCCAGCTTTCCCCTAACGTGTCTTTTAGAATAAAAATGTCATTAGAGCCCCACATTGATGGGGTTGCAGGAAGACAGTCAAAGCGTTTGAACAGGATACACAAATAGGCATGAAGAGAGATTACTGCTGACAGGGAATAATGGACCTATACACAGCAGCATGATGTGATCGGGGAATCAGATAGCCTCTTAACCACTTGCCTACCAGGCACTTATACCCCCTTCCTTACCAGGCCAATTTTCAGCTTTCAGCGCTGCCGCACTTTGATTGACAATTGCGCGGTCATGCAACATTGTACCCATATGAAATTTTGATCATTTTTTTTCTCACAAATAGAGCTTTCTTTTGGTGGTATTTAATCGCCACTGGGCGCTTTACTTTTTGCGCTATAAATTAAAAAAAGTGCAAAAAATTTGAAAAAAAAAAAAAAGTTTATTTGTTTCTTTTATAACATTTTTCAAACAGGTATTTTTTCTCCTTCACTGATTTGCGTTGATGAGGCGGCACTGATGGGCACTGATAGGCGGCACTGATGGGCACTGATAGGCAGCACTAAAGGGCACTGATAGGCAGTACTAATGAGGTGGCACGGATAGGCGGCACTGATAGACAGCACTAATTAGGGGTCACGGATAGGCGGCACTGATATGCAGCACTGATAGGCGGCACTGATAGGTGACACTGATGATGGGTACTGATAGACGGCACTGACTGGCATCACTTCTGGGCACTGACTGGCGGCACTGACTGGCACAACCCCTGGGCACTGACTGGTGGCACTGACTGGCAGCACTGCTGGGCTGCACTGGTGGGTGGCACTGGTGGGCAGCACTGGTGGGTGGGCACAGGTGGGTGGCACTGGTGGGCACAGGTGGGTGGCACTGGTGGGCACAGGTGGGTGGGCACAGGTGGGTGGCACTGCTGGGCACATGTAGGTGGCACTTCTGGGCACAGGTAGGTGGCACTGCAGAGTGGCACAGGTGGGGGCACTGCTGGGCACAGGTGGGGGCACTGCTGGGAACGGGTGGGCGCACTGCTGGGCGGAACTTGCGGGTGTCACTGCTGGGCACCGATCATCAGGGCACTGATCATCAGTGCCCTGATGATCGGTGCCGATCCCCGCTCTGACAACTGCCGGTTCTCGGCAGTACTTTCCTCACGATCTGACAGCGTGAGGAAAGTGCAGCCGAGAACCGGCACTTGCATTTCCCTGTGATCAGCGTGTCATTGGACACCGCTGATCACGTGGTAAAAGGCCGGTGGGATCGGCCTTTCACCACATCACGTGATCAGCTGTGTACGTAGGACACAGCGATCACGGAGATCGCCGGGTGCGCGCCCCCTGGGGCGCGCAGGAGAGCGCGTTCTGGGAGGACGTCATATGACGTCCACTCAGAACTGGCCGGCCGCGGTGAAGCCGTCATTCGGCTATGCGCGGTCGGCAAGAAGTTAACAGAGACCTAACAACTGGAAAACTGGCCCTTGTGCACAGTGTGCTGGGACATTAGATTGTGTAAAACCAAATACTGGCTGCTGTTACTGTGGTTGAAAGTTACTTACCTCGTCATATCCAAATATGGAAGCATAAAATATTTCGGTAAACGCTTTCATAGTTTTTTTCATTTTCACTGAATCTATCTGAAAGATATAAACACAAAAATGAATTATTTTACTCCGCTATAAAACGACAATTTGTGTTTCAGAAAAACGTGCATCAGCCCTAATTTCAACTGTGCATTTTTTTTAAATGCATCAGAATTATTTGTGCTGGTATTCTGGTCAATATTCATTGGTAGACAACTAACTACAGATTTTTTTGTTTAAAGAGGTTGTATTTATAGTTTTATTTATAATCACAGAAAAAAGGCAAGAACATCTTAGGTGCCATAGAAAACTACCAAATGGTACAACCTGGTTTCCTTTTGCCTATAAAGGTAGGTAACATAGAAGTGACTTCCCAGGAAAGCTGTTCAAAAGCCACATATGATTTCCTTTAACACAGATGTATGTAAGGGATTGTTGGGTAACAAACTCAACAGCTGATATTTCCCTGACCCTAACCAAGGTGCAGGTTTAAAGTGTTACTAAACCCACAACAGTAAAATCAGTCTGTATATGCAGTAAAGCATGCTGGTTATACTCACTGTGGAACCTAAGGGGTTAATCCTCTGCATTGTGTAAAAAGGCTGTTTGATCCTGACTTCTCTGCTCCTCCTCTTGTTCAAATGTCCACGCTGATAAGACAGACTGAACCCGTAGCCCTTCTGCACATGCTCAGTTTAGTGTGTATTGCTAGAGAGATTTGTTTGTTTTCTTGGGAGAGTGCATGTGATCAGCACAGGGCTAATCAGCAGTGTCCAGACAGAGGTCAGAGGTTTCACATCCTCCTAGAGCAGAAAGAAAACTCCTCCTACAAGCTTTAACCAGTGCTCTGCTGAACACTGATAGAAGTCACAAGACTGCTCTAACTGCTGATGCAAAAATGTATTTAACAGTTTATGTTTACTAAAATAATTGCATTTCTATGTTGTGTGCACTGTGTGAAGACCAGATATAGTGAATGCAGGGTCCTGGGAGACCAGATATAGTGAATGCAGGGTCCTGGATTTAGTAACACTTTAAGAACAACATAACTCTGCCTATGGCAACATAGAGCACCAAACATTTTTTTTTATATAGTGGTGGCCAAGTCGGTTACTTCTGGACCTAAAGGCAGCAGGCACACCTGAACATTGCATTTTTGCAAGATTTTTGGGGCTTTTGTATGCACATTTCTGAGTATTTTTGTAGATCGTTTTGGAGCTTTGGCATTTTTGTATTAGCCAATATAGAAAAACTATCATCTGTCACATCATTTGTTGCTATGTGTTTTTGCTTTCAGCTACTACAAAAAGTAGTTCCAAAACTTTTTTGAGCATCAGGCCCCGCCCACATGGTTGCATCACTCGTGAATGAATGAACTGCAAGTCCCGACAGCCTTAGCGGCTATTGTCTTGTAGTTTTCAATGAACTACCATGGTCCTGTGGAGTGCCGTGGTAGTTCACTGAAGCTTCCTGTCAGAACATCTGCTTGCTCGTACATTCCGTACTGCAAGCAGATATTCTGACAGGTCTGCAGGAGACCTGCATGGCACCAGCATCTACTGATCACTGGTGCAATGCTTTCCAGTCTCCTGTAGATAAAATTAATAAATGCACTTTTTTTTACCTGAAAAAAAATTTGATTATTTTTGTGTAAAAGGTGAACTTATCCTTTAAACCAGCCATAGATGGGTTTCAGGAAACAGTGGTTACAGCTGCTGTCAATAATCGCATGAAAGATCGAAAAATCTGACAGGCTGGTTGTAACCTAGTTGTACAACAATCCCATTGGATAAAATCAGTCTGCCCATAGATGGTTGGAATCCCAGCCAGTCCTTGTTGGACTGGTTGAGATTCGAACCATCTATGGCCGGCTTTAGGCTTTTTTCTTCGAATGCGCTCATTACAACCATTGGTGCCGCCAGCCCATGCAAGGTGTGGGTACTTTTTCATATATATATATATATATATATATATATATATATATATATATATATATATATATATATTTTACACAAATATATATTCTAACTTTAGTTTTAAAGAAAAGTATATGCTATATAAAACATTATACACTCCTAGGTGGATGCAGCATCGATCTGATACTGCATCTGTCCCCCACCGGCTCTGCAGTGAGAACTGAGCAATCAAAGACTGCTGATTGCTCAGTTCTCCCCTCTGCTCTGAGCAGAGAGCTGTTACTGTCAGTCACTGGCTCTTTGGTTTGCCCCCCCCCAGCACTCACTGGAGAGCTGGGCTGTGGAGGGGGTGGGAAAGGCTGGCTCAGGGTTTTGATGGATTGCTGAGAGCCTGAGCCAGGTGCTAGTCCAGGGTTCTGGGTGGTTCTGGACCGGCTCTGTGATGGCTGAAGCCCGCTGTCGGCTGAAAATGGGTCACAGGAATGCAGAACAAACTGCACACCTGTGATCTGTAGAAGTATACCCAAAAAAGCTTTGGCTATACTTCTCCTTTAATGAGCCCTAAAAAGAATGCATTTCAAAAACACAGTAAACAAGTAAAAAAAACAAAAACAAAAAACAAAAAACACACAGAATTACCTTTCCTGCCTACTGTGCAGCATTCAGTCTCCTACAACAGGTCCACTTTAAATAAACTCACGAAGACTTAGAATTTACCTATATTGAGGCTGCCCGCTGTTTTGCCGTGGTTTAGATAAATATTTATTTCTATGTCCCTGGTCCTCTCAGTAATATGCTTGACTATAAAAAAACCATACTTGGAATCAGGTCAACCTGCTGCCTTCTACACACACTGTGTCAGTGACACCAGCCAGAACACAGAGTTGCTGGATGCGCTAGCCTGCAAAAGTGAGGTCAGCATATCCAAACATTTTTTTATTAAATTAGAACAGCTCCTAATGACATTTTCTTAATCATCAGAAAGCTGCACCACTTTAATATTGAAGGTTATTTTGGCAAATGCTATTGAGCCCAGTACATTACATGGATAATCTATTTCTTCAACAACTTAGTATTCCTCCCACCCCCAAGGAAAATTAAAAATGTTAGGCTGGAATTGTGACATTAAACTCTAGGCCATTCTGTCAAAGTAATGGTAAAAAGATACTTCGTCATTTCAGTGTGAAAGCCAAGACAATTAAAGCCCTGTTCCAAAAGCACTTTGCTCGAGTTTTCAGTTGACATCATATTTGCCTTTAATGTTATATTACCCTGGGATTCCTTAAGTACTACTTTTTCTATTCAAGTAGTGAGGTTTACGTATGTAAACACAAAGAAAACAGCCATTTTATAGCCAAATCTCTTTGCTGCAATGACACCCCCCAGCATAGGCTGTTACTACTTTGCATCGTCCAGAGGAGTAAATACCCAACATATGTAACGCTAACTCCTACACTGAACTTAAAACAGAATACGCCATGAAATATGCGGCAAAACCTGTGTTATTATACCCTAAACTCAATCGTAAAGAAAACAATTCAAGAGAAATGTGCAGGCCGATACTGCTGACCACTCTTGTTGGCCTGGATGTTATACTAATCCTCTGGCTAAAATATTTTTTAGGACAATGACCTGAAATAAATCAGTAAATTGGAAATTCTGACTACACTTTGACTTCCTTATGTTTGGTCAGAAACTCAGTATTTAAAGTGTCATTAACAGCTTCCGCACCGCCCTATAGCAGAAATACTGCTACAAAGCAGCATGGGGTGTGCAAAAGTACGTATATATACACGTGATTTTGCAGTTCCGGGTAGGGGGTGCACGTGCTCCCTACCCATGCCGCCATATGGCCTCGGCTGTCAATCATCGTTTCCTGGCCAGTGATTCCCTACTGGCACCTGGCGATCTCCAAGGATTTCAGAAGGGGGAGAGATCTGTATGCAAACAATACAGATCTCTCCCCTGTCAGCTCCTGCACACTTCATGGTAGGGCTCTGCATTGCAGAGCCGTACATAGCAGTGTGCTTACAGTGAAGTACACAGACACACAGCCCCCATAGTAAAAACAACACACTGTTAACCCTTTGATCGCCCCAGATGTTAACCCCTTCCTGCCCAGTGCCATTAGTACAGTGTCAGGGCTTTTTATTGGCACTGATCACTGTATTGGTGTCACTGGGGGATGTCAGTGACACCAAGTCAGTTCCCCCCAATGTCAGAATGCCCGCTGCAGTCCTGCTATAAGTCGCTGATCGCCGCGATTACTAGTGAAAAAAATAAATACATAAATTCCAGTATATATACCGCCATTTGTAAAAAACTATAACTTTCAGGTAAATCAATTAATTTACACTCATTGGGATTTTTTTCTTAGCAAAGACATGGAGCAGAATACATTTTGGCCTAAATGTATGATGAAAATGATTTTTTAAAATGTTTTACTGGACATGTTTAATAGCAAAAAGTCAAATTTTTTTAATAGCCCAAAAAATAAAAAAGGCAGAGGCGATTAAATACCACAGAAAGAAAGCTATATTCGTGGGAAAAAAAGGAAGTAAATTTCATTTGGTTGCTGTGTTGCATGACCGCGCAATTGTCAGTTAAAGTATCGCAGCGCCATATTACAAAAAATGGCCTGGTCAGGAAGGGGGGTAAATCCTCTAGAGAGCAAGTGGTTAAACCCACATCAGTACATGCTGTATTACATGCTGTTCATACTCATTATGGGATTTTTCTGTATTCCGCAAAAAACCTGGTTGATCCTGTTGGCCACTGTCCCTCTCTCCTTGTCTGTGTCCCTGTTGTAGCCTGAGATTGTGTAGACCAGCTGTTGCCACATATACAGAGCATGCTCCAGTTTCAGTTCCCTTCTAAGCTGTTAATTTCCTCCTTTCTCCTATCTGTGCAGCCCATGTGACTATAGAGTCACACACATGGGGGAATACACAGTGGTAAATGACAGTTCCTTTCTGCCTTCCCCCTCCTTGCCCACTAAACAGCTCTACACAATGGGGCAGGATATTACATGTTGATTGATAGAGGAGTCATCTCTCTGTAATCCTAAGCACATACAAACAATAGACACAGGCTGGAGGGGAGCGAAACAGGCTATGATTGTAG